GGTTGATGAGTACCGGTTCCGGTCCGACAAACTAGGCACATTTCCTTCTTCTTTAACCCCGGACATAGCATCTAAAACCTCACTGTTGGAGAAGGTAGGTCGTTCCGTTTGAGGTTGTGGATAGGTGTCTTTTATACTGATAACGAGTTCAAACAGGTGCCATTAATACAGTTAACAAGTGGAGGACAGAGGAAGCTCTTAAAGAAGAAGTTACAGGTCTGTGAGAGCCAGAAATCTTGTTTGTTTGTAGGTGACCAAATACTTATTTTCCACCATAATTTGCAAATAAATTCTTTAAAAATCAGACAATGTGATTTTCTGGATTTTTTTTTTCTCATTTTGTCTCGCATAGTTGAGGTATACCTAGGATGAAGATTACAGGCCTCTCTCATCTTTTTAAGTGGAAGAACTTGCACAATTGGTGGCTGACTAAATACTTTTGTGCCCCACTGTATGTGTGGGATAGTTCTGCAATGGAAAGTAGATGGCAGAAAAAAAATCAGCAACTATTTTAAATTCTATCGATTTTTTTGAAAGGAACCTTCATGCAAAAGTGACAGAAAATGCCTTTTTAAGTCTCTGAAATATGGAGATTTCCTGCCTTTTTTCCCTTTTTTTCGTTTAGGGATTGGGCTAACAAAGCACAACATTAAAATACATTACATTTTCAGAAAGTAGTGAAAAATGTGAAGACCTAACGATGTGTGCTGCAGAGATTCTGTCTGGGTGGCCGTGCAGGGATGACACAGAGCATTACGTCAGTGTAGCCGGTCCCTGCTGGTCACAAGGTGATTCTGAGTCAGCAATAAAATGTACTGCTTGCGTTGTGTCAGCTCTGAAGGATGAGCCCTTTGTGTCATTATGAAAGTTATCGCTTTCATGTTCAGTCATTTCAAACATTTTCTTCCTGTTAATGTTAGGGTGGAAACCGAAAACCAAAATAGATTAAACTCAGTATTTATTTCCCATTTTGTCTCTTTCTATTCATTATGTGTCTGTAAAGTTGGGATCAAGCCCTCTGGTTGTCTCTATACTGCGGAAATCAATGCAGCTCAATGGTTTCATTGTGTCAGCTTTGAACCTCTTCACCTTGAAACTCGCTTCCTGTTTACAGGCGACAACATCCTGGCGGTCCTAAAGTACCTGGTGAATTCAGAGAAGCTGGCCGATTCCTCCGAGTATCGTCATGGCAACATGGTGTTTTACGACCTGCTGGGGGTATTTGTGGTGGCTTACCCCGCCCGTGTAGGCACCATCCTGAACTACATGGTAGCCACAGCCACCTTCCTCTATCTGGCTAAGAAAGCCTCAATGCCAGGCAATGGGGGTAGGTCTCTATTTCCTGTGGTGGATGCATGTGTTCTCCCCTTTGTGGATTATTCAAGTGTTTTCTTGCAAACTGTAAGATGAGAATGGCCCAGTCCAAACTTGCAGGTAGATCTGCAATGATTAGTCAACAGTCAATACATATTGGCCATTTATTTTTGAATATCGATTAAACTTTTAAGATATCTTCTCATGAAAAATATCAGAAAAAGTGGATTTTTCTCTGTTTCTGTATTATTTGAAAATTAATATCTTTAGGTCCTGGCTGGATAAATATATACAGATATTAGAATTACTTAGAGAAGCAGGGATGGACATTTTACAACCAAGTGATTAATCGATTAATCAGGAAAATAATTGGCTTGTGGAGTCAAATCACAATTGTTGTTTCTCTTTGCTCTAGAATAGTTAGATGCTTGCTCTTCACTTACGTTTCATCTGCATCTCCCTCAGGTGGCCGATATGTCCGGGAACTGGCCTGTGCCACAGGTGTAGCGGTCCTGAGTTGGGTCGTCACGCTGCTGTCGGTGCTGATACTCGCTCTGCTCGTCACTCTGCTGGGCCGCTCCATGTTCTGGTACAACCACTTCTACGCCTCCATCTGCCTGTATGGGGCTGCTGCCACGGGCAAGATGGTCCTCATCCACACCCTGGCCAAGAACTTGTACTACGGAGTAAGTCGAGTGTTTAATCTAAGTCTTTTTCAAAGGTATATGACATTTTTGGAAATAGATGTACTAGCTCTCTTGATGTTTTCAGTGTGTATGCTAAGCTAAGCTAACCACCTGGTTCCGGCTTTATGTTTTATTATCTAACTCTTGGCAAGATGGGAAATTAAAAGTAAATCATTTCTTAACTTTGGAGAGACTTTTAAATCAGAGAAGTGAAAGTGGAATTTTAAGAAATTACGAGTAGAAACCACACTTTTGGAAACTTTAGAATTTCAAATCACTTATTTCAAAAAAATCCAATTGTAATAAAAAGCTGAATGGAGAAATGATGTTTAGCCATAGGTCAAGTCCGATAGTGAGTGGTTAAATATTTGCTCTGTTAAAGCGTGAAGAATGGACTTAGATTCATATCTTTCTGATACTCTTTGTAACACAAAACTATCTTTAAATTGAGAGCTTTTGCTTAATGAACTAAGTAGACCAGCCCTATTATATCTCATGTTGACTGATTGAGATAATGTTTAATGGGTACTAAAGTGCAAATAGGAGAAAGCTAGTTCCTCTTCCTCCATGGTGACTAGCGAACAGCAGCTCTTTGTTTGTGTGTGCTCGATAATAAAACTGGTGATGTGTAAGACCAGCAGCCATGTGGCAGTCACGTGTATGGACTCCTTTACCAAATAAGTATTTACTGCTGGCACACAATGGAGCACTCTCACTGTGCTTTTGATATCCACCTGCTTATAACAAAGCCTATTCTGGCCAAGGACAATGATTGAGCCTTTTTGGTAAACTTCTTCTTTCTGTAATTTTAGGAGCTGTTCAGCTGAAATATGGTCCCTCTGACATTTTGTATTTTGAGATTGAAACCATTAGAGAAGCTTTATTTTCATCTGGAGCTGAACACATTGTGAATTCCAGCTTTTCATGGACATGTTCAAGGAAGGACACAGACTAACCTTTGTGCCAGACCACATAAGGCTTCATCCTCTCTAAATCTCTATTGAAAGAGCACAAGTCATCTTCGGCCTCATTTTACTCTAAGTGTACGACGCCTGCAGGAGAACTTGACTTATTTGTACAAATTGCTTGTCTACTTACTGATCATTTCGTTCTGTGGTTTCTAAACCTTTCTTTCCTGAGTGTAATGTATTGCTGCATTAACAGCAATCATTATGTTCCAAATGAACTCATTTATATTGATGATATTGATTTTAAACGGAATATAATTTCCTATAAATGATGTTAAAGTGGATGTAATAGTGGGTTTGCTTTTCAAGAAATGCCAGTGGCCTAAGCTGTATGTTCCAACCATTCATAAATTAATTTTTACCTGTCTATTTCACAATTTGATGCTTTACTTTGAGCTATTTTACAATTTTAACTATCATTTTCAACCATTTATCAGTTAAATTGAGCTAACTGTCCACTTTCCGCTCATTGTTAAATATTTTCTTTTGCACTCTGAAATAAAACATAAGTGTAAGAGCTGATTCAATCATACATTAGTTTTGCCTACAAAAGTGCATACAAATGGTTGAATTGGAACTGTGTGTGGTTGTAGCTCCACATCAATAAAGACAAGAATCTGCAGTGCGAAGCTCCCACTGGGGATTTATTTGTGTGGCAGTGATGCAAGGCCAAACACTGCCGTACATATTTATTTTTGTATACAAGGGCTTTCTATATAACAGCTGGTTACCAAATCATTCAACCTAAAACACCATGAAGAGCAGGGCGAGGGCCTCTCAGTGACACTGTGGCCATGGTGTAAAGTTCCCTATGTAGAAACTAGGAAGTCAAAAATGATTGATTGTTCATCCACAACAGAGGTAGTGATTGTCTTTTCCGCAGTGATTTGTAAAAAGATAAATATAATTTATGATGAATGTTGCTTTTATACAAGGCAGGGACTGATCTGACCTCATTATTATTCAATCTTTATTTCAGACTCAAGGTCCATATCACATACAAAAAGACAAGACAGACATCAATAAATAAGATAAAAAGCTAAACAGATAAAAACAAACAGATAAAAAACATAAAATCAGTCCAATCACAGCGAGCCACACATGCTCACTGTCTGTATAGGCTATTGCGCCAATGTCTCCAAATCATGGAAGAGAACCGAGTAGAACTCTTCACAGGGTTAATTAAAATCGAGATAACATGATTGTCCGAGTCTTCTAGGCGACACATGAATTTGTACATTAACTTTCTTAAAAGGGCTTGACAAGTAGGTACCCCCAAGTTAACAAACAGCTGGCTGGCACTGTGTCATCTTGGTACCCTCAGCAGCAACCGTAAAGCATCATTGTATGCAACTTTTAGTTTGTGTATGCTTCTAGCCTTGTAGTTACTCCACAGGTGAGCTTTAAAAAGTGATACTTTGACATCTACAGAGCACTTGTGAAATTTCCGCATTAATATGTTTGCCTGGGCATACAGTTTGCAGCGTTGTCTATGGATGTCTTTTTCATCTGTGAGATTATCAGAAATATAATGACCAAGGTACTTAATCTCACTGCACACAAGAAGAATGTTGCTACTGAGAATAAAATTAGGAAATACAGCCTTTTTATCCTCTTTACTTCGCACAATCATGATGCTACTCTTCTTGGCGTTATACTTAATTTTAAAATCAATGGGAACAAGTCCTCAGAAGCTGGTCTAAGCTGTATATCAGCACTATCTTTTGTTGAATAGATTTGAGTTGTTCAAATTTTGGGTCGCAATTTATTGACAAAGGAAAAATTGGGTCCCGAGGCCTGACCAGTTGAGAGCCACTGCGTTAGAGAATCCGACTGCACTTTCACTATCCAACGTGTTTATGATGCGCCAGCGGACGTCATAAATGTGCGTCTGCTGCTGCGGGGAAACAGAAACTACAGTTTTCTATACAGCAGACAACAACATGTATAATAAGAACGAGGGACTACTGTAAACTCATCTAGAGACTCTGCACCGTGCTCTGATGCTGTTGTTTTATGCTTTATGAACTGGACAACAGAGAAACATATTCTTCATGACCAAAGTTGGAATTGAAATAAAAAAGGAAAGTGAAACTTATGCTCGTCACCCTCTCCCTCCGGTCCACATTAATACAAATGATCCCAATACTGTACGTATGATTGTATGAACTATGAAAAGATCTTAAAATCAATACAAATGTATTTATTATAAACGTTAGTCCTTAACACCTATCACTGTGTACGTACATCACCATTCAAAATTCTTTTAAAAGTTGAACAAACCCCACACAGCTCAGTGAAATGTTGACTTTTTGATCATTTCAGTAAAAACTAACGTTCATATTTCTCTTTTTGATTATAATACTGATGAACGTTCAAAACAAAGCACTTTGGCAACTTACCACATACGTTTTAAAATGCTTAATAAGCACCGTAACTTTCATGATATAATTTCTCCATCATAATCGTTTGTTTCCGTGAACGGCTGACTGTTGTGTGACGGCAAATGCTGCGGCTGCAAGGCATTGTGGGGCAGCATTTTCTTCTCTCCTTTCGGTAAGGGAGGTCCAGTGGTTCCTAAGCTAAAGGAGGTTATAAAGGAAGTTTGAAACCTCCTTTAGAGAATTCGAACGACACTTATCATGGCTGCCACTGAGGGACTTCCGGGTCATTTCACTCCGTTAGGAAGGTTCCTAAGCTAAATGGACTATTCGACTTCAGCCCGACACTAACGTGGCCGAGTGGACTCCGGAGTTTGCTACATGAGTTGCACAGTATGATCTGTGTTGTAGTGGGCTGTCACTCAAAAACTGAGTAGCCAATGGGGACACACCCCTGAAAGTCCCGCCCACCTGGGATGTTTGTGTCAAAATCGAAAACAAAAAGTGAAGGTGCACAAATAGTAGAGGACCTGGGTTAGATATGTATGCACTTAATTTAGGAGAGAATATCTCAACTGTTCTAGACTAATATGACCCCACTGAACAACTTGGGATGTGTGCCAAAATCTCTGTCCGGGACGAAAAGCCCCAAAATGACCACGCCCTTTTTTTAAAGACCACGCCCCCTTTCATCGGAAGTGCTACTTCCGATATAGCTGTATCTTCTAAACCGTTTGAGCTACATATTTTCTGAGGTGCTCAAAATGTTCAGAATGGCAATATCTAGGGGGAGGGGGTATTCACGAGAACATTCGGTCAACTTATTACCATACAACTACCCAAGTACTGGAAATTGAGTTATCCTCTCATGAATTATGTGCATACATGCCTATCTTAACTTAGGTCTTCTACTAATTAATATAACCATTGAATTATATAAAACTAACTGCTTTTTGTTTATTCATAGCACCAGTGCTAATAGCTGGAGAGAGTACGAGAGAAAGACTTATCCATCCAGTTTAACGGAGATAATATCTCACTGAAGTACAGCGAAATGGTAAGACAAGCTTTAATTTTTTTATTTACCTACCTCTTCTTTCTGTGGGTATGCCAAGTAGTATATTGTATGGTGATACTGATAACCCATGCCATCGATAATTTTAAACATGTTTCTTTTATTTTCAGGATGTGGTACCGCTCGCTGCTCCTTCTGCTAAACCTAAGCCGATCAAGCCGATCAATCTCGAGGAGTGCATCCTATGCCAGAAGAAGAACCGATCTGAGTACCTCTCTAGTGGTGAAATCGGCAGGGGTTATATTGTTTCGCTTGCCAAACAAACAGAGAGTAATGACACTCGAGCTGCTAGGGTTCTTCAACTGACCGTGCAAGAGCAGGGTATCATGAAATACTACACCTCATCTTGCTACAGAAGTTTTCAAAGGGATATGGCTAAGACTGACAGCATAACCCAACCACTAGAACAATCAGAACCATCTCAGCAGGGGCCTATTAATGATACATCTGAGTGACACAGCAAGCGATTTAAGTCCAGTGTAACTACAAATGTCTGTATCTTTTGTGGTTCGGATTGCAAGACATTTAAACAGAAGAAAATACACACATTGTTCAGAATCTGTGAAAGGCCTATGGCCCAAAAACTACTAAACAACAACCATGTTGTTCAAGGACCATGTGTACACTGAAACAGCGGCAATGTGTGAGCTAGATGATGTTTTTGCGGCTGATATCCGATATCACGACCAATGTTGTAAATTCTATTTCAATAAATATCATGCTAAAATTGATGAAATACTGAAAAACCTTGAAAAGGAGGAGTCGGTAACAGCCGGAGACAACTCCTTCAAGGCTAGATTTTTAGCCCTTGGGATTGACTTTAGTAGGTCAGCACACAGTCTGACTTCCATCAGAGACAGGCTAAATGAAGGTTCAGCTGGAATAGTGTCAAACAGAACTGTAAAGCAGCTGATCATCGAGATGTATGGAGACGCCGTCTGTTTTACATACCCAAGTAACAAACGAATATCCCAGATGGTACTTTGTACCAACAGTTCTATAGAGGCCTTGGTAGAGTCCCTGCGAGTTTCACCTGTCCAACAGGTTGCAACTGAGCTGGCGCAGGAGCTGACAGGATATAGGTTTGGACTGCAGATGAGCCTTTGTGAGCCCCAAGACCTCAAACTGTCCATGGACATATTAATTAAGAACCCACCACCAAGATGGGAGGAGTTTTGCTCCTATATGTTCAAGGGGAAAACAACCTCTAAGCTGAAGACTGATGTAGTCTTTCAAATTCTGCACTACATCATGACTGATGGCAAGGAACCAACACCTTTCCATGTCATGGCGGCTCAAGGAGTGCACAGTCTGACACGATCAAAAGAGCTAGTGACCGCTCTTAACCATCATGGAATATGTGTCAGCTACAACACAGTCAGAGGATGGATGATGTGGACGAGGATGATAGCGAACTTCAGGTCGTTGCATCAGAGCAAACTGCTTTCCACCATTTCTATGTGAGGCAACACCACTAAATAGGGCAAAGGGACCAAAACGGCTCTATACCCCTTGGTAATGATCACCCACCAGGCGAGGACGGATACTCAGCCTGGTTGTTCTTCTTCCATTTCCACTTCATCTGCGAACACATCGGAGAAGTGACGACTGATGGATGTCTCCGATGGCCGGACCACATTAAAGCTCCGTCAGGAGCCTACATCATTACGCGTTGTCACATCAGTGGAACAGATGAACTGCGGCGGGAATACCCACATCCAGCCAGCAATTGGAGAGATTCTTGGCTCGCAGGAGGCTCCTGGCTCGTCCGCAACTACAGGATGAGTAGATCAGTAGTACCTCAACGACTTCTGCTAGCGCAGACACAGAACTCTACAACAGGCTCGACCCCAGTACCACTGTGTTGTGATGCGCTACTCCACGGCAACAGACCCATCAACCTTGACAAGGCCCCGAATGGCAGCTTCCAAACCAAAGATTCCACTCTGATCCTGCATTGTCGCAGCAAGCTACAGAAATGAAGTCCCACAGCTGGCAGAGACATTCATGGTCAAGGTCTCAACCATCAGCATACGGAAGCTATTTGTCGACCGGCCATCGCTCCATTTCCTAGAGCAATGACCATCAGACATGTGCAGGATCTTTATGAGATACAGCTCTGATGCAAGAAACATATCCCCATAGAGTTCATCACCCACATCCTTCATCCAGCTTCAAATCCATTAGATCATGCACCTCGATGATTAATCTTCAGAGAATTAGCTCTTTGAAAGATGGGTGGTGCCTCACGGTGGGTTGTGTCCGGAGGTTGTGATTCAAAACTCGAAGGCCGTGACCAGATCCCTAGCAACATGTGGCAGTGTGCTCATATGGAGAAGATTGTTGGCCTGTCTTGGTACATTGGTATCTGGGATCAGTGTTGCAATGTACTGCATTTGCCAGCAGGGACTGTGATCTGTTGTTATACAACCCTGCATCCACTGAAATGAATCACTGGCTCATATCCTCATACGGGAAGCCTGTCCTCTGAAATACCCTGTCGGTTACTCTGATGTTCCTCGCATCCTGGTTGACGGTGCCACCGAATAACAGTATAATGTCGGTGTTAAAAGTATCTGTTGCGTGTTGGGCTCTAATTCTATTAAGCTCACGTCTACGAATACACATGTTCTAACTTTGTCTAAGTCAGAAGTTTAAATTAATAAATATAAGGCGATGTCCGTAGCTTTTAGGTAGTTGTGAGATACGTTGACCTATGTAAACTGGTTAGTCTTTCTACCAAGTCTCTGCGCCTGAGATTGTTACTTTTGGTGCCATGCAATAAGCGAGGAGCACGTTCAGTGTTCATACTAATCAATGGTTATATTAATTGAGTGAAGACCTTATTAAGATAGGCATGTATGCACATAATTCATGAGGAGGAGTAACTCCGAATTTCCAGTACTTGGGTAGGTGTAATTGGTGAATAAGTGGACGCGAAATGTTCCGTGAAATATCAATGAGGCCTTTCTGTACCCCTGCACTAGATCAGTGCAGCCGATTCTGAACATTTGAGCCCTCGATAATCTGTTAGCTCAAACGGTTTAGAAGATCAGCAGTATATCGGGGAATGTAGCACTTCCGATGACAAGGGCCGTTGGTCTTTAAAAATGGAGCGTGGTGATTTTAGAGGCTAATTGTCAGTCACGGATGAGTTTTGGCACACCCCAAGTTAGTCAGTGGGGTCATATTGCAAGTCTAGAACAGTTGAGATATTCTCTCCTAAATAAGTGCAGTAAACCAAATTAAAAAGTAACCAGGTCCTAGTACTATGAGTATTTCATCAATGTGCTCTGGCAGACAAAGGCCTTGTCATCTGAAGTCCGCATATCGCCCGACTGTGGATACAACAGCAGTTTTTGACGCAGAGCCTGAACTACGACAGGATTTGCTTAGTGGGCCTAACTTCAGGAAAACTCTGGGTTTCCGCCTACGACGCTGGTCTCTTAGTTGTATTCCGCTCCAATATCTCCGTTTCTACTTTTAGTTTGATGAAAGCTTGCATGAGCAGCTATGATTATTGAGCGGCTCGCATCTCACATTGAAAACACACGCTGAGTCGCTAACCTGGTCGGAGCAGGTCAACTGCCACACAGATCAACTAACTAGGGGTTTCAGAAATACCCAAACACTTTTACTGGTCTATGCGGGCTAAAATACTTGTAGTGGATTAACATGCCTAGGTGTCGTTACGTGATTTTATGCGGTGAAATTGCGGGAAGTGTGTCAACATGTTTTATATCTCGGAACGTCATACGCGAATAAGCATAGATTGCATTTTTAATATTGTGTTCCATGTCTTGATTCATTCATCTCACACACACAGTACTGGCACTAACGTTAACCTTCCATTCAATTAAAGACATTCAATGTTTACATAGCTGTAATGCAATGCACTATACTATTGATTCGCCTGTCTCTCTCACGTTACACATCAACACATACTACTTAGTTGTACGCACACACACACGCACACCACTGTGAGGACACAGGAGTTGACCGCTTTCGGGTTGACAGTGTTGCCTGACAGGGACACACACCCTCGCGACATGCTTGGATAGCCCGGTGCACACTCGACACAGCGCACACACACACACGTTTCTCTGCCTCATTGGTGTATCCATTGACTGCGATTCGTTACCTGCCCAGTTCAATCCTGTAGTCTACTCATCCGCATCACTGTTGCCTCGAAGTGTTTTGGAGTTGATGCCTCGGTGAACGAGAGTTGTTTGGCCTCTGTTGTCGCAGCAGCCGAAATCATGCTCGAATGGTGTTGAAGAATCAAAAGGCTGCTAGTGTAGTGTCTGCGGCGGGGTAGGGTGGCCATCGCGTCCTCTTAGGTCGGACAGTCCGTTTCAATTCTGTGCCGTCCTGCGCGCAGCCTTGAGCCGGGCTCATTTGTCCTCTTTTGCGGGGTGATCCCGTTTCAGTCTTTAGGGGTATAAAAAAAAATAGACACATTATACAAAGAAACTACAAAAAATAACGTTATTGTGTAAGTATACCTATCCCTGTAAGAGTTGGCGGCGTTGTGCGTCTGTGTGCGGGGGGTTTGTGTGTGGGGTCTGTTTACATCAATTTTTTGGTTTTTCTGAAGTGATCGTTCATAGGTAATATATTATTGATTCATGGGTGTGTGTTTATGTATGGTACGTATACAATTATGGATGTTGCTCTCTGTGTTATCTGTTCACGGCATGGCACTGTGGTCACAGATGTTGTGATGTGGTTAGCTGGGTAGTGTGAGGTGTAGCTCATGAGTCGGGTGAGGTTCCGCGTTAGTTAGCGGTGGTGTGTTTGGGCGGTATGGTTTAGACGTCAGAAATGTCGAAGCGAGTGAAGTTAGCTTTGTTCTTTATATCCTCTGATCCGATGGGTCTCGGAGAGATGACATGCTTGGATTTCTCTCACATAAAGATTAGCGAATAATGGACTTGCTTTCTCATTTTTTTGCACGTTGGTGTG